ATATTTCGAGCTCGACATCGCCTGACCGGATAGCGATGCCCTGACATTCTAGGGTGGTATCCCTGCGGTCGATGTCTGCTTCGATAAGACGATACTGCACGGTGTGGTGCGTGATGAACGCTAAGCCACCACCATTATCTCGCTCGCGATCTCGACGGTGCACGTTGTACCCGGCGCAATTCAACAAAGTTGAATTGCTGTGCAACTTCGTCTCTTGGACCGCAGCTATTAATATACCATGCCGACACATGAAGACGGTTATCTCCTCAATCTTGCTCTGTAGCCCGTTACAGTTGAATTGAAGGAGCTTCATGTGGTTCGGGAGACGTGTCGTGATGTGGGGTGTGAGTGAGGTGTATGTTCTTGCCGCCGTTGGCTGTGTGTGCTGCTGAGGTGATTGCCGCCCTGTGGTGGTTGTGGGGGGCGTCGCAATTGGAGTCTACGACCGAGCAGCGCAACACGGGCCCTCGAAGTTCCCTGTCCAATCTCGCGTGGTACGCAGANGATACTTCGCCGACCTAAACGGGGTTAGATCGCCGAAACAACAGCCCTTGGTCGGGTGAAACCCGAGTCATTCCGGTACGTCGCTATGTGTCGTGATCTTTCGGACTTTGTGTGAAAAATGCATAACGCAAAAGGTTGCATATACAAGAATGAAAAATTATCGATATAAGTAGGTATCGATACTTTCGGTTTACTCATATAAGTAGTATCGAAATAACGATTTGAGTGAACTCATTTAAGTAGGTATCGATACTTTGATGGTATCGGAATGTCCCTAATGGCGAAATGCTTTGAGCGATTCTGTAAATGTTCCGGACTGACATGAACTGATCGAGCGTGTTTTTTATTTTTATTTGACCAAATTTTTGCCAAAACTCAGTAATTGGTAAGTTTTCAAACTTTTTAATTTCTGCGCATTCGGCTAAATTAATAGCTTCGGCTTTATCGATCTCATCTTCAGGAAAAAGTTTTTAGATTATTGGCAAAATACTTGTTGTTTCGCCAGATACAACTTGTTGCGGCGTAAACTTAATAACATCTTGCATAATTTCGTCACTGAAATTAAATCGTTTCCTAAAGTCCTCGCAAAATTTTATGTAAAACTTTAGAATATTTTTTTTTTTTTAATTCAATAACTTGTTCTGTGGCAACATTTTGTGTAATGTAAAAAATTTCGGTCTGTGTTCCACAATTTAAGGGGTTCATTGAACCTTCTATTTCATCTTTATGAAAAAAATTTCTACATATATGCCTTAACAAGGTAGACAATCTCGCATGCATGACGTGAATCTTGGCCTCTTCTGATTGCAATTGGATATTGACATCGTTTATAATTTTCAAAATATATGACAGGAAAAGGAAATACGTTTTTACCACTGGATCAGCGAGGCTATTTGAAATTAAGCTATTAGGTGTGTACTCGTATTGAGAGGGCAAAATTCTCCAGCAGCAAAAGTTCTGAGAATTTAGCAGCATTCGCTCTTAAAGAGACGAAATATCAACAGAAGTACGAGAACGCAAAATTTCCAAAAACTTGCAACCTTTGAAACAACTGATCACTTGCACAGTTGCCACTGGTCATTAATTTAGCAATTTATTTTCTGCTTGGTACATTTTCCCCCGATTTGGCATTTTATACAATTGAATAGTTTTGGATAAGAAAAACCTTTTTAAAATTCAAATTAATTATATCGGAATGAATAAGTTATTTTTCTCATAATTATTTGTGATATGACATGGTGACGCATTCAAAAACAAGAGTATCTCCTCCAAACACCCATCATTGATCCAAAAAAATGTAATAGATATAACTACAGATGTAGCTTTAAAATTATAAAATTTTCATTTCAACAACCAACGTACCAAAACCGAAAACTTCAGCAAAAAAACATTTAGCATGCCGCATTTAAATCTATTTTGGTATATTTAAAGGAAAATTATGGTACAAACGAAAAATGTCATACGGCAAACATAGTCAGCGCACTAAAGTAAACAAACTGGAGATTAATAGCAAATTAACGAAAAATAAACTCAACAAACGTTGTGCTTATTAAATTAACACACTTTTTCGTTGTATACTAGCATTAATAATAAAATTTGCAATAAATAACTCACAAGGGCCAGATTTTCTTTTGTTTATTTACAAACATGTGTTTGTGATCAGCTGATTTTCTTACTTGCAAGTTTTAGCTGGGAAAAATTTTCCCAGCAGAAATTTGCAGCTCTCTTTCACACTTTGCTCTCTCAATTTCCCCTACTTTGCAAGTTTTTTGGGTACGAGAACGCAAAACCAGTAAAAGTTTTCTAAAACTTTAGATAGTTGGGCGTACGAGTACACTCCTATTATGTTCATTGCCATATGACGTTTCGAAATCGGACAGCACGAAATAGTACTGCTCTAAAGCGCGATCTACAACCGCCTAAATTATGGAAAATTATTGTTATATTTTTATTTCATTTTTAATAAACTTTACCTGTCTAGATAGCCAGCGCGTAGGAGCTAGACGCAAGCAAAAACGATAGAATACAAGATTGCGCATTCCCGCAGAATGACAAAGAGTATGGCGAAGAACAATGAGTTGACAGTTGTGAATTTGCAGTGAGAAAACGTGTTTTCTTCTCGATTCAAAAATTTCTCAAGCCATCTTTGAATATAGCAAATTAAGCACTACGTTAACAAAAAATATACAAGCACTCTTGAAATGTGTTCAAAAGAATAGGTCTTATTAATTAACTATTTAGAATTTTTATGTTTATATTGCATGTGCCCAAAAAGTGATAATATCTTGCCGCAGCTCCTGTTTTCCTGCAAAGTGGTCGATGCTTGCTTACCTCCGATTTTAATTTGTAATTTGTGGTATTTAAACGTTTTCAATTTAACATGTCGTGTTTAAAAGTGGTCCGTAAAGTGCTTCATGCATATTACGCTGGTGTCTAAATTGTATGGCTTCTCCTGCCGGCAGAACTCTACCCACTTTCTAGCCGAGGCGTCGTCGCGGGGAAACAAAAAAAACTGCGTTTGGGGGTTTACCCCTACGGCTGCTGCAATTCAACACACAACATTTTTATAGTTTTTATTACAAATAAAACGTCTTTTACTTCAGAACGCACGAATTACTTCGATTTTTCACTTGAAAGTACACAATACGTTTGCACTTGTTTCTAAACAAAAATTTTGTTTACGTATTGCCATTAATGTCAAAGTCGGCAAAACCAAAGTAGCGGTTTCGGGAATGCGCCACCTTCACTTCATTTCACCATGAGACGCAAGATGGTATGTATTTACGTCCCGAACTCAGATAGAAATTTAGAAGAATCAGATTTACGACTAGAACTGTTGCAAAAGTGATTATTTACAGCGTTGCCGCTTAGGTCCAATTGGACCAAAATTGGTAGCTTCAGTTTCCTTTGGTAGTTTGGTTGGTTTGATGAAGCTTTTGGTAGGCAAAAATGTTTTGAAAATGCTTTCCTTCTGCACTTGAGAGATGCTTTTTCATAGTTCGAAAAAATAAATAAATTAAGGAAGTACCTGACGGCATCGAACACGCCACCTTTTGAAAGCTAACAAATACAAGAACGCTATTCTGCACGCTCAGCCACTGCCGCTTGAAAAACAAAAATACAGGTATTGCTTTCAAATAACGTCCTCATTTTCGAACGTTTTCCAGATACAAAAATGAACGAAGACTGTAGTCATTTTCAATGCGTTTCTGGATACAAAAAACTGTCAGTGAAATTTACATTTCTCTGCTGACTGGGTTACTGCGTTTTCACGTTAAAAAATTGCTTTAAATTTTGTTCACACGTAAGAGTTGTCACAAGTATGAGTTTTCTCCCTTTTCAAAGACATGATTGATCAGCTGTTGAAATTTAACGATAAATTGCCTATCTTGGGAGAAAGATTTTAATTTTTACTGCTAATTTGTGTAGCTAAAAAATCCGTGAATTCAAGAAATTTCGTTTTAATGATCGGAAAATTTTTTTGGTAGTTTGGACACTGTTTTGGTAGGCATTTTGGTACATAAAAATTACTCAAGTGGCACACTGGTTATTTATGTAAAGACGAATCTTATCGATTGTTGGGGGAAGTGTTGCTGCAGCTGCTTCCAAAGACAAGTTTAAGTTATGACACACATCGCCCATAATAAAAACTTTAGGACAAATTTCTTTTAGCTTGGCTTGCACGCCATTTCGTTTTCCCAACATAACACCACAGTTGTCGGCAGCGAACCCTAACAAGTTTTTTTATTGTAATATTGTGTTTGTTTAACACATCTACCATGGCACTAAAAATTCCTTTGGCAGAACCATCTGTTATTTCCACGAAGTCTAAAAATCGGTCACGGCACCTATCTTAAAAATTCTTACAATAATAGCCAAATTTTTGTTCACAGTAATGTCTGTCATTTCGTCTATGGCAATTGAATAATTAGTCTATTCCTTTGAACTTCGGACTAAAGCCTGTGGAATTGTCAAACTACAATTTTACGCTCTCAAATGAGAGTAAAAGGAGAACAGATGCAGAAGTGCATAGGAACGCAAAAAGCACTATTTCCCGTAAAAACGTCAGACGGTTTGTTTACATGTCATTGGTACTATACTGATTTGGCTGAGATATCACTAAATAATTATTAAAATCTATACATATTTAAATATTTCGTTGTTTACTTCCATTTTTTAACAAATATAAGGTTATTTGCTTTCACCGCTTTCTGTTTTTGTTTGCACATGTAAATCAGCTGATCGTTTGACACTTTTCATGAACTTACAGGAAAAAAAACTCCGGACTAAATCCTGTAACTTCTGACTAGGAACAGTTGCTCAGTTACTCTCTCAAATGTGTTCCCACTTACAGGTTTTATGTCAATAGGAACGACTTCCTGTAAGTTCTGACTAAATCCTGTAAACCGGACTGCTATTGGAACAGACTAAATATTGGCCTTGCGTTATGGTAGAAATTTCTTTAACATTTTCCGGGCCTCTAATAGTAGTTATAAATTTTTGTCCTTTATTGCGGTTTATTTAAACTATTGAAACTACTTTCGAATCGCTGATTGTTTTAATGCACTTTCCCAAATGATCCAAACTTCTGAAAGGCAAGTTGTGCTCTGCCACAAACAAACATAATGTTATTTCAAACTCCTTTCCTTGTTTTTCAGCCGCTTGCTCCATATTGTTGTCTGTTGCAAAGCTTTGAATTTTCGGGGTTGATTGTGCGCTTTCAAATATCTTTATGTGACCACTGCTTTTCGAATGTCGTTCAATGTGTGCCAAATTTCCATAAATTAGAACATTGCACATTTGCATTTGCACATTGCCCGGAAATCTTTCACTCCACTGTTTTCGAAAATGTATCATATTTTTTCTTTTTGCACTGAACGTAATTGCTAGGCAAACATTTAAAAATGATTCTTAAAAACTGAAGGTAGGGTTTGGCTTTCCTTTATGGCCGTTCGTTAAAGGGGCGGTGGGCGAAAGGCAAGTGGGCGTGGCACCTCTAACCCACCTTTTTGGAGAGGGAATGTACCGCCATTGACAAAAATGCAACCCCCGACCACCTAGGTCCCCTATGGTTCCCTAGGGACCCCTTAGAAAAATTGCCAAAAATCACAATTCTCATTTGCGTTTATTCGCTTGAAAAATGTTAAATATTCATTTGCACAATACATTTTTATACACACATTTTTATATACAAGACATTTTTATAAAACACCCAGTAACCAAATAGGCAGGCTCAGGTTTACCACACAGAAAGGGAATTCTAGTTACCTCATCCTTTCCCAAGGTTACATCACTGGGGCGGTAGTCCCAGTTAGGTCACACAGAAAGGGGAATTCTATGTAGTAAGAGTTATAATCCCTAAGTGCGGCCGAAGGCCGCCTACGCAGAAAGGAATTCTATGCAAAAGGTGTTCGGCCCCTTTTCTTTGGCAACACAGAAAGGAGAATTCTACTGCCTGAGGGTTATAATCCCTAAGTGCGGCCGAAGGCCGCCTACGCAGAAAGGTATTCTACGCAAAAATACTGTGGACGCAAGTAAAAATTGAGATTATTGGTAATTTCTCTAAGGGGTCCGTAGGGAACCATAGGGGGCCTAGGTGGTCGGGGGTTGCATTTTTGTCAATGGCGGTTCATGCCCTCTCCAAAAAAGGTTGGAGGTGCCACGCCCACTCCCCCTTCGCCCACCGCACCTTACGAACGGCCATAATGGAAAGTTTCCCCGAAAGTAGTTTAAAAGGCGTGCACTTATTTACTTCGCGTCTTCTTCCACACAATCCAATCATGAACGAAAGACACAAGATCACGCGGGAAGGAAAGAAAGAAAAGTTATTTTCTAGCTGCTGAAATCTCGGCGCCATCTTTGTTGTAAGAAGTTAACAACGAAGAGAACGAAGAAAACCGCGAAATTGTTGAACGCATGAATAATCATTTTTATTATGCCAATTCTTCTATAAATCATGTCGTTGTGTTAAATTATTCTTTGCCTTATGTGTACACACGTTGTCACAGGCGAAAATGAAGAAAATTGCAGTAAAAAGACACCACCAAATTGTAAACAACGAAGAAATGTAAACAAACGGCTAATGTCAAAATCGTTAAACTTTTTTCTTTAATGCGAATCTAACGGGCTACTCTCCTGCCCGCATGATCTTGTATTTTTGGTTCATGCAATCCAATGCTGCTTGCCTTACCAACACACCCCCGACTTCTTCAGAATTCCGTCTTTCTTGCTGTAGACTATCATTCTCGGTATTAAGGCCCTGTCTCCACAGAAAAACACTGATGTCGTGATAACCATGTCAATAAATATATTTCCAATGGAGACCGCCTATTTCTCATGTGCTGCAATATATGTCAGCGCTTATTGCTTGACATCTATTGCAGGCAATTCGATAGTTTGACAGCCATATTTTCATTTGAAAGAAAGCGTGCTGGTGGTAACATCGATGAAATTTTNTTAAATGTTTTTAAACACCGAAATTGAGAGAATGTTGTCTGGTGGCGTCATGTGGCAAATACTTATTTCAAGACATCAAAGTGCCCACACACAAAAACTTGCAATCACATTGCTCGTCAAAATGACAGTTGGTAGGCCATCGGTGTTCGCCTGTGGAGTTCTGCGGTAACGCCTTGCCTTTTTCGAAGCTACCTAAAAAGTCCAGTGTAAATGAATATATTGATATACGTAATATATGTAATTAGTTACTTCATCTTTGCACCTGTTTACTCTTTGCAGTAAAGACAAAAACACGGAAAACAATTAGAGCGTTCCAGCACGTCTAAGATTTGCAGGTTTTGCAGGATTTAGTCCAAAGTCGTTTCCGTACGCCAAAAATTCTGTATCTGGGAACACTCTTGTGAGAGTAACTGAGCAACTGTTCCCAGAATGAAGTTTAAAGATTTACAGCCTAATCATGTATCTCGAAGCGAACGTTCGTTTCGTCTGCTAGACGTTTCGTTCGTGTGTTGGTAGTATGTAAGTCCAAATCGTCTGGCGGCACGAAAACAGCTGATCGTTACGTAGTTTTCGTCTAGTTTGGAATTTTTTAAGGCGAATAGAAGACGAAAGTGAGACAACAATCGTTGAAAACAGACGAAAGGTTATTAGTGATCGTTCAGATGGAGGGTTCTGCCAGGAAAAGTATGAAAATAAAAAAATATAACTTGGTTTAAGGAAATATATTAATATTTATGCTTGTAGCGCTGAAAAAAACTACAACCACTCAATTTGAAGTACTGGTAAAAGAAATGGAGAGAAATCCTGACCTGGCCAGAGGTGTTGCAGTGTTTGGATCTGATCGAGGAAGGGTAGAGGAGCGGTGGGAGGAAATTATAAGGAAAATTAATTCTCATGGTCCACCTACAAGAACGGCCGTCGAATGGAAGAAAGTAAGCATAAGTGCATACATTGTATGTGGTAGATAAATGCTTGCGTACTATTTCCACTTTACTGACATTGAATTTTATTTTATTTTATGGGTAGATTATCGATAGCAATCGAACTTCAGTTGCGTTGCTAGTTGCCAAAACGATATTACAGATGGCAACTGGCAACTTTTAACTGACAACTGCAGTTGCTACATAATGTGTATACAGGCGACTACATTTTAGTGGTTGCTGGGAATGTTTTTGGAGCGTATTTAGGAGCGAAAATTGAAGTGTGTCATATATTTAATAATTTGAACGATATTAACATTTTGCAATGCAGTTTGCTTTTACAGAATATGGTGAAAATAACAAACCAATGGCCCGTAGTCATAGTCAAAATAAAGTAGACTTTAAAGTTAGTTGCAGCTTTTTTGACAGATATCCCATTGAAAATTATGTCAAAAAGCTGCAACTAACTTTAAAGTCGACTTTATTTTGACTATGACTACGGGCCAATATCTTGAAATTTTAGTTCCCGTGGACAACGCCCTTTTGGCGAAACAAAAGCGAACACTGATTGCAATTTTTTTCCTTTATCAATTGAAGCACCTCTTTTAAAACTACCGACACACCCTGTTTTCCAAATTAAAGTCATTGCTGTGGCACTTCCTTCTGCGAAAAATCGAAGATGTGCGCAAGCTTTTCTGAGCGGAGGTATTGAAGTTGAACGAAGTGGTTCATCTGTTTATTAACCAATTATACTACAGCTTTTTTACTTGTGCTTACAGTACACGCGGTAGCTCTAGAGGATTGGAATTATCCTTTAAGTGTCGCCTGATTGAGGACGCGTTCATGCATTTCTCTTCCTCCTAAACAAATAATTTATTTAGCTTTATTTCTGTCTTTTCTTTAAAACTCTTTATTTTAATAATTTAATTTTACTCGCACAGCTTGTTTGCAGCCGCTTGCTGGTTGTTGAACTGTCAAATTTCGATTATCGATAACTCTACAGCAACTGACGATAGTTGCCATTCGTAATACAAATTTTCTTTCCAGTTGCATTGCCAGCTGACAACCGAAGCGTGGTTGTGTTGCCATCCGTAATCGACCCATTAATTTTTCAAGATATGGGCTGACTTGAAAAGCCGGACAAAAAAGAAGATTGCCGAAAACACACGAAGACTTACTGCTGCCGGTGGTGGCCCATTCCGTCACTCTCCGCTTTCCGAAATGGAGCAGGCCATAGACAGCCTGGTTTTTATTTCAAGGTCAGCAGCCCCGAGCGGCAGAGTTTTCGGCATTCCTTCGACGGCGACCTCTAACATGTCAAGACATTCGTCGTTGGAGGAAATGCCTCCTTTACTTGTGACTGAATCGCCAACACTTGACCAACGAAAGCAACAAACAACCACCCTTAAATCTCCTATAAGGCACAACCAACCACTACCAGTGGGAGTAGTGACTCCCACTACACAGACAACCCGTCCTACACCAACGCACACGTTACGTTCTACTAATAGGAAGTGTACCTTCCAAGAGACAATGGCTGAATCTGCCAAAGTCCAAGCAGAAGCCGCTAAAGTGCAGGCTGAGGCTGCAAAAAATGGCAGAGGCATCAATGCTGCAGGTGGATGCCACAAACAAATTAACTGCTGCAGTGGAACGCGAATCTGCAATTTTTGGAGTACTTCCGGAATTAATTTTCATACCACTATTGTGAGAGTAATGAAGTGAAATTTTATTTTTTTTTTTGTATAAATATTTTTTAGATTTAAGTGTGAATTGACATTTTGTTGCATTTACTTAGTTTATATGTAGATTTAGGATTTAAGACTGAAAAGATATTTTGTTGAATTTTTATGTAAATATTTTATTAATTTTAAGACAAATGAATTTTGCTGGTGTACCTCAAATCTAGACACACATACTTTATAATAAAACTGCGTTTATAACAAACTCTCTGCTACTCTCATTCTAATAAGGGCAGCTGTATTCGAAATGTTACTGTTTTCAAGTTCTTCGTAACTAACAAGATTCTCCATATCTGGGCTCTCCAATGGAATTTGATGTTTGAAAAATATACAAACGTTATGAATAGCACAGCACACATTTACAATTTGTGTAACTTTTTCTGGTGAATAGTGTAGCCCTCTCGAGCCAATTATACATCGAAATCGGTTTTTCAAAACACCGAAACATCTCTCAATTACATTACGAGCATTCGAGTGCTTTGTGTTGTAAATTCGTTGAATTTCATCGGCTGTGCTTCTGAATGGCGTCATCAAGTATGGCTGCAAGGGGTAACCAGAATCACCCACAAAAACTTTCATTGTCAGTAATAGTTTTATAGCCTTTTTAAGTTTTAAAACTTACCGTGTAGCCATGTGTTGGTTTTTCCATTGTTATAATCAGATTTTAGCTCCTGTTCTGCGTTACCCACATTAGTTGCGTTCCAGATGCTTCACGATTTGCAGGTTTTTACAGGAAGTCCCATAAGGTTTATTAATGGGGAAAACAGCTGTTCCTGCAAATCGTGAATTTCGTGAAGCATCTGGAACGCAACTATTCCAAACAAATGAATCATGATTCGCCCCTGGATGCCTAGCGTCAACAAATGTGATTACCATGTTGTGATCGCATATCTGTAAGGAAACTCAGTTTGTGTATGTGTATACTTGTAAAGATAGTAAATCATTAACCTACCGCTATTACATTAAGACTGTAAAAACGCTTGCGGTTGAGGTATAAGAGGTGGTTGTCACTTCCTGGCGACTTAATACGAACGTGTGTTCCATCAACACAACCAATAACCCCAGGTATTCCGTATTTCTCAAAGAAATATTCTTTAACTGCATTTTCCTCATCGATGTTTCTCCTAAAATTCACCCATTTCTGGCAAAAATGGTCCTCAAAAATATTTAGGCATTCCCTGATCACGTTGGCTGCAGTTGACTGCACCATCGACGAAATATTTTCGTTACCAACAGATTTTTGATAACTGCCGGTGGCGAGAAATCTTTAAAAAGTCGCGAGTTTTAGCTGGTGCGATAGGTGGGTGCTTCTATGTGATGTGGCCATGTGCTCTTTTAATTCATTTAATATGTATTGGAATATTTCTTTGTTGATTCGGAAATTTGCAACAAACCTAGAAATGAATACATTGTAGTATACAAAAATTATTTGCTAATCTTGAACTTACTCAGTCTCAGGTAGTTCCATTACATTCGTGTGGTCTCGCAATCTCCTCCTCTGTATCCGCCTTTCCCTTTCTTCGGATTCCTCGGCGTCCATTAGCGCTATAGCAGCATACATTTTTAAAAATTAATTTTTTAATTAATTATATTTCTTTCCGCAACACAACCAAAACACTTTTAAGCAAAACCGAAATGTAAGCAATTCCGATGTTGCCAATTTAAAATAAAAAGCATTGAAATAAGCTGAAAATATTAGAAATCTAAGAAAAACTCTTAGGAAGTACATCAAAATTTCATCCGGCAACATCATACAACGTAACCGAGACGATTGCAACGTAATCGACGTAAAGACAAGACGAAGACGAACGACAGTTACAAAATTGCAATCCGTGACGATATCGCCTACAGACGAATCGTTCGTGTGGCCTATCGTTCGAGATACATAATAAGGCTGTTAGTCCGGAGTTTTTCTTCTGGCAAATTCATGAAAAGTGTCAAACGATAGGTAGAGTTGCATTTGTGTACAAAAACAGAAGCGGTGAAAGCAAATAACCTTACATTTCTTAAGAAATGGAAATAAATAATGAAATATTCGAATATATATGCAATTATTATTAATTATATAGATTTTAATAGTTATTTAGTGATCTTTCAGCCCAATCAGTCTTGTACTAATGACAAGTCAACAAACCAAATGACGTTTCTGCTGGAAAAAGTGCTTTTTGCGTTCCCGTACACTTCTACATCTGTTCTCCTGTTACTCTCTCTAGAGAGAGTAAAATTGTAGTTTGACATTTCCACAGGTTTTAGTCCGAAAAGTACTGGAACAAACTAAATTTTAATACCCTCTTCTTTTTCGGCTAGTACTCACAATGAACAAACTATAAAGGCTAAACTCCATTCATACGTGCCGTAAATGAACATTTGCATTAAGCCTTATCCTCAAGTGCTGTGGTGCAGAATTTGTTTTTTTTATAGAAGAAAGATAGGAGATTGCTACTCGTTGAAATTGTACCAAAACACCAGAGTAGGGCCTAAAGCTTTAAGGAGAAAAACGATCGAATAAGGTACAATTGGACCTAAAAAATCAACTATGCTCTGGACCCAACTACATACACACAGGCCCTAACCTGCATTCACATGGAAATTGCCTTTTTTCTGCTAAAGAGATAGAGTATATTCGATTAAGAATGTCCAGGATTTAGCTTTCCCTGATTCCATATATACACATTTGATGTTGTCTTTTTTTTTGCCTTTTTTAAGATATTTGCCTTTTTTTGTCTTTTCTACCTTTAAAAAAGTGATTATAGCATTTACAATATTTTTTTAAAGATTAAAAAATATACACATGCCCATGCGTCTTATAGAAGCGCAGGGAGCTCTTGCCAAATTGGTGTTGGAAAATTTCAAAGCCGTTTTCTCAGCTCACGTAGGCTTGGAGACAATAAGGGGTGTGGAAAAAATTGTAAAGGGCGAGGAAAACGCCCTTATTCCTGATAATATGAACGTTTCAAACGTTCCATATTTAAATTGGGCTCCACTTGTATCAACTTACGTCGAGGGCACATTTAGTATATTCAAGCCTTTTCGTCACGAAAATCGAATGAAAATGCTGCCAGAAAACTTCAAAAATCTTGTGGTTCAATGTTACTACAACTATACAGATTAAAGTTTTATGAGTTACGAACTCAGAAGGATAAAATAGTCAAAGATTCATATAATGAAACTAGTTCATGGTTTTTCTCTTTTTACTTGTAATATAAACATTTCTAAAATAAATGGATTTTTTGATTGTTCTTCGTATTTTCTGTCTTTTTTAGTGCCTTATTTTGCTTTTTTTGCAATACCTGCCTTTTTCGCTATTTTGTGTTGCCTTTTTTGCCTTTTTACAATACCTAGTGCCTTTTCCGGCCTTTTTTTGCTATTTTATTTTGCCTTTTCCAGCCTATTTCGTTATTTTATTTTGCCTTTTTTTATAGGTTTTTAGGTCCTAAAAATCCGTTCCCTGGTCATAACTCTCGTCTTTCATGGCAGAAATACACTGGGAGGTTTGCCATTGCCTGCCGAGGGGCGACCGCTATTAGAAAAAACTTCATTTTTTGGTATTTATTTTTTTTAGTGAAATGGTATAATCAAAATCTGCAGAATTTTTTTTTTAATTTTTCACAGTTTGGAACGGATTTTTGGGGTTTTTGTTGTAGTATATTAAAAAAAACATATGCCTGTATTGCAATAAATCTCTGTATGCAAACTTTCTTGAATGAGTGTATGTATGTACATACATCTTTTTAAGAATAACACAATACAACTTTCAATACTTTTAATATCCTTCATCAGAAATCTGAATTTCATACTCTGGAAATTTATCTTGCAAAATTTGTTTGGTTTTATAGTGGTCTGCCTTTCCAAAGCCCTGCAAATATTTTTATTATACTTCTTTTTCAATAAAAATTTAACATTAGAAACCTGTGAATAACCATAAACTTTTATAAGCTTTGAATTGGAATTATACTCAATCCGTCCACCACCAAGGCATTCCGTCTCCAGTCCAAGTCCCTTCAAGGATTCGCTCGATCGATCGTATATATCAGCTGTGCATAAAGAAAATGAAAGGTTTTAGACAAAATCATATTTTAAGATTTGTTTTTAATTCTATATAAGCTGAGCTTTTGCGACATAACTTTTGAACCTCAAATTTTAAAGAGTTAATACGAGTTAGTAGTAATTGGTGCGTGATAACTAGACATCGGAACTATAGAAAATCTTCATATGAAAAACATACAAATTTGCAGCGTATATGTACTTTAAGAAAGCGAGCTTCAACAAAATTTTCCATTATCCACCTTTTGAAATGGAGACACTCATAGCGAGCTTCATGAAGAATAATGCATTCCACTTTTTGAAACCAAGCAATCAACCTATCACTACACCCAGAGTAAGACCACAGATTCAATTTCACTGAAGAGCAAAAAGGTATAACAGCTAAGCAATTCAAATCCGCAGGCAAAGAGCTATGTACATTTACCAGCTGTTAAGCACAATTTTGTTTAATGAATACTCACCCAATAGTAGGGTGCTATATCACGATTTATTCGAGTGTCATGGGAACCTATAGGATTTTGAAGATTAGATAGAAAAAAGGGTATGTGACGTATATCCTGTCAAATGGAAATACTCGGGTCCGACAAATATTTATAGTGCATAAGCCGACGTGTTTCTGATGACGGAAGTATGTTAATATGTGGTTTGCATGGTGCGGGTGACACTCTTTAGTGTTGGACTTACTCCTTTTATACCGCACAATAGGACTACAGCATCCAAAACTAGTAAAACGGATTAGTGAGTTCTGAAAAAACTTTACGCAGATTCATAGCAAAATATCCAACCAACCAACCAATTTGCGGTCATGAGACGAGCTTAAAATAGATACAATGCAAAAAGCAAGTTTGTAAGAAAAAATTTTTATTTTGTCGGAAGTAATTTAAATTAATTATTTTTAATTATTATTCTGCTTACCTTAAGCTCAGCTTTTATTGTTTAAAATAAAGGTAAAATTGCAGGTTCCAGTGCATTTAAATATCTACCATTCATATAATTTGGTATGTATGTAGATATGGTAAATGTTTTAATTTTTTCAGTTTTAAAAGCAAGAAATGGGAACTTTTTACAAATAAAATAAATGTTTGATAATTTCCCCAAACATTCATGAAATTTTGTACTGAGAGCCAAAGAGATGGAGGTGGGTGTCATAGTGAGAAACTCATTATCTTCCATGCTAAAAAATGTTGGAGTAAACCCGCAGGGTACACCAAATTTCATCAAAATAAAATTTTTTAACATTTTTCCCTATTTTTTAAAGTATGTGGACGATAAGATTAACTTATGGGTATATAATCGATAGCAACCGAACTTCAGTTGCGTTGCAAGTTTCCGAAACGATATTACAGATGGCAACTCTCAACTGACAACTGCACAAACCCTACAAGAATTGTGTGATGGAAACTAACACATTCTCATTTATCTTACTAACACATTTGCAAATTTTGCGTTGGTTAAAAAGAGACCATTAAATAAGGCCTTAAGCTGGAGGAAGACGGAAGATCACATGAACACAAATGGTTATATCAGATTTTTCACACTGCCCTTTAGAATTTGATAGAAACTTGTAGGTAGCCAGTGACAGAAATCTCAATCAGTCTTGCCACTCAAATGATTTGTTAAATGATAGTCACTGTTCTTGCAGGGAAGTGTGTATACAGTAAGCAACTTATTTACAATGGAAAAGAGGACACAATGAAATATCGTTAAAAAAATTATTTTATTCATTGGAACAATAACACACTAACTATAATATGAGGCCATGAGCGTAGGGCTACTCCTACTGACATTTCAACAAAAGTTGAAGTGCTCCTTAAAATGCATTACTAGAATCGAAACGCTAATAGCCCGTGGCATGCCCTTTTAATTTTCCTTTTACTATAGCATGTACTAGCATCACGTAGGCGCAATGAACTTTTTAGTAAAATACCGCATTTATTTTTTATAGAGCCTTCTTTCTCATATTACTTTTTTTTGTAGATAGGCTCCTCGGGGCCATCATGGCCTCATATGACAATTGAAAAATAATTAATGATTATTTAAATGAGTACCAATCAATTGAATGAATATTTTTTATCAATGCATCATCTTCTAACAATATATTGGTAATATCCAAACAAGATATATCCTTAATATTTAATTTTACCAAAATTTTTTTATTCTCTCTGGAAAGCAGCTGGCAAATTGAGGAGACCCACCCTGAAAGAATCGGCAATAAGAAAGGAAAACAGTGAATGGGCAAAAAGTGATTTAGAAAAGGCTAACACATTTGCGAGCTATCTAAAAACGGTTTTCACACCGTACAAATTTTAACCCCGACCCGAGACTACAAATAAAGTCAACATTACCCTGGGTTGTACTCAACAAATGGACCCACCCTTAAAAAAATTTACTAAAGCAGAAGTAAAAACAATGAGTCAAACCACGCCAACTGTGTCAATGAATTTTCATTGATTTTCTGGAAAGTAAAGATAATTGTGGAAATCTGTAGATAATTATAGAACAAAAATACACTTTGGACGGTATTTCGAAATTGCACTACGTTTTTGTTTTTTTGGTATTATAAGAATATTGCAATTTTTGAGAAAAATTCGTAAGTCGCGACCCATTTGATGAAATTTGATGAAATGTTTTTTGAGAGTTGCTGAAGCTTTTCCCTTTACAATAGAAAGATTTGCAGAATAAAATTTGCAAAACAATTAATTCTTTAATAACAATAATTTAAACAATTGCAATTATTTATATATTCCAGGCCCGCGATTGCAGTGAAATTTTTGGCACAATATACTCTAAACTCTTGTTTTTAAGTTCCAAAAAAAAAAATTGGTCTTTCCAATTTTGACAGTCGCTACCGATTTTTTTCTCAAGTTGTAAATAAACATAAGTTGTAAATAAAGATGGATGTTTCAAGTTATACGTTAAATAATGCACGCACTTGTATTCATTAATTAACATAAAAAAGCTATCACTCACACAAGCTTATATGGTAATAGCTATTTACTCAAGGCTTAAAGGTGAGAAAAAAATCGATAGCGACTGTCAAAATTGGAAAGACCAATTTTTTTCTTTTTGGAACTTAAAATTAAGAGTTTAGAGTATATTGTGCAAAAATTTCACTGCAATCGCGGGCCTAGAATATAAGTTAAACTACCCGGCTCGGTAGGTTACAAAAAAAATTTTTCCGGACGAGACCGGTCTTTATTTGTTGATATGAGTTTAACAACTAATTTTACAAATTCTCTTAATTCTAAAGCTTAACCTAAAAGTTAAGCCCGAGTGCTGTCAACGTGACAGGTATTTTGCTGATTAGGCGTTTCCCACGGAAACGCCAGTCGCTGCTCTGGAATTTGTTGTCCAGCTTTTTGGTTGCGCGTGTAAGGTGTTGTATTACCATCTTCTTTATGTTGAGTTGTATGAAGTGCTGAGCTGCGCGTGTGGGGTGTTTGGTTACCGTCATTCGTTTTAAAAAAAAAATGTTTATATATTTCTTTAGTATTTTTTTAATTTTCATTCAATTTTTGTAAAAACTAGAGAGAGTAAAGGGCCATTCACATACAACTTTCCTCGCTTTGCTTGACAGTTCAAACTTTGACAACAAAGCGTGAAACGCAGAAGGTATGCTACAATAAACGCTTTGACAGCTTTTACGTTCTCCTTTTCTTCCGTATATTTTCTCTGTAAAATAGATAACAATATAATAATATGCGTTAATAATAGCAATAAAATTTCCTATTTACCCTATTTTTGTCATTAAATGCAAATGCAAGCGCACGAGAAAAGATACATGTAGACAGCTGATTGCCAAAGCGGGCAAAAGTTGAGAGTTGCNAAGATTTTGCTTTGCTTTGCTTCAAACGTTTTTTATGTGAGCATACTCATGTATATGCCTACATCGATCTTATATGTCAAAGCAAGGAACTATCAAGCAAAGCGAAGAAAGTTGTATTTGAATCAGCCTTAAGATTTTCTATCGCGCCATTTTTTATTCCAAATTTTCGCCTGCGGCGCTTTTCCTTTTCATAGAAAACTATATATTTAGTCAAATATGATGTCCACAAAAATTGTTTGCTACAAGTCATATATCAAATGAACGGTATTTTTGTGCTCTTTCTGATAAACATATCTGTTAATTACGTATTTTTTTAAAGAAAAACATACATTTTTATAAAAAAAATTACCGTAATTTCGTTTTTTACCTTTTCTCGCAATGTGAATACATTATATACATAGATATATATATATCGAATGAAAGGCCCTTCAATCACCTTTCCAACTGTGTCCATATTTAGAAAATCGGTTCAATAGTTTTCGAAATATAAGCTTTTGAGAATGTTGAAAATACCACGTTTAGCCCCCCTATCGCCGCCCCGTTCAATTTGCACCAAAAAAAATGCCGTTAAAATCCGGAAAAGGGGGCGGGCCACGCCCACTTTTTTCTCTATCTCAAAGGTCAGTATACTTTAGGTGTTCCCGATGTATTGATCAGTGTTGGCATTTTTGGAACAATTGTACTTTTTTGATACAATTTCGTTTACAATATACTTTCTTACTACGCAGTACTTTTTAGTACAATTTTGTGATGAATACTATACATATATAGCTCTCAAAATTCACTGCGGGAAATTTTTTTATTCTCTTTTGCCTTTGTAAGTTTTGCAAAAAGGTTTTGAACGAACCATTATAAAGGCTGGTATGTAGCTCTCAGGAAAACGGTCAAGAAAAAAGTCGCCATTATTTCGTGTGTGTCCAAGGAATTTTGACAACTGATACTTCACCAGCCTGTTGCAAGCATGGGTTGCCTTGTGCTCTTTTTTCACAAAAAAACTTTAGAAACCCGTAGTAGAAAGCTTATCAAATTTCTCAAGAACTGCGTACTGACTAAAGAAAATTTTAGACAACTAAATTTCTTATTAATTTCTTGTACGTCATTTTATATGGACTTTTTGCATTTCTTGAGAGCTGCATACTGGCCTTAACATAGCACAAGGTGTGC